ATGTGCTGATGTGAAGCAGTATGTGTCACTGTAACATGTACAATATAGGTCAGACTATTTCCAGTTTTGCTGCTTTGAAATCGCGTTGGATGCTTGTAACAGGATTGTGAAATATTGTTCATGAACGCCGGTTATAACGGATTTATACCGGGCGTGTTGGGACGGCCGAGTAGGCTTAGCCTGAGGAAAACTAAATTTATTGGAAGTCCTTTCGACTCATTTATCGTGATCCTCAATGGATGGATTTATTGCTGCGGTGATTTTGTGAGCTTTTAATCATCCTCATCGGAGTTCTCTCACGGTGTCTGATGATTGCGAACGGACGGGCATAACCAGGTAATATGTGAAGCACGTAGAATAACAACATAGTTCTCCCGATCATAATCTACTGGGGATCATAAAAATATGACAGTACATGATTTATTAATAAGTGTAGTCTTACGTTATCTAAAAAGCATCCCATAGATTAATTCACGTGTCTTAATAGGCAATTTATCCATGATCTGGTGACCCTAAGCATGTTGGAATCGATAAATTATATATTTCTTGCTCTAAAGGCCTCACACACTAGACAGAACCATTTGGTATTATAATGACTTCTACCAACACAAATGAACTTTTAAGATAAGAACCATATGATGACCATTCATTCAACTTACAATTTTGCTTTACAGTTTTATCTGTTCACACAGACACATACAGCAATAACGAGGTTGTATGGAAAGTTGTACGGAACGCCATACAAATGTACATATCAGCATAAAGCAGTCATCAGCTATTTAATGCACTCTCATGCACTTTACTGATGATACAAAACCATTTGTTATGACGGCTGAGGCAAAAATTTATATTTCATTTTTGTATTGCTACATATATCATTACATAAGCCTGCTGTTCATTTATCTTTTCTGCACACCTACTACCTTCACTGTTGGCTTCCATGGAAACCATGATCTTAAAAGAAGTTCCATCTGGCCCTGTAAAGAGGGTTAGTTGAGGATTTGAAGAATACCATCACGGCGGTAGACTTTTATTACCTACAGGCAAGCCTTTCACATTGTGGCTGACTGGCAGAGAAATTATTCCACTGCAGACCTAAGGCCACAGCAAGTACATTTTAGGGATGACATCCTCCGCAGATTCCAAATCTAATGCGAGCGGGCGAAAAAAACAAGGCGAGCCGAACAAAAACAAGGTTCCTACAACCTAAAATTTTGACTCAATCATTGTACACATGGTTTTGATTCAGTAGGAACATCACTTATACACAGCCAGCATCACATATCACTGCATCAAAGTAAGAAACACAACATTAAATCAGAGCCTTTTCTTGTCTCCTGTCTTCATGGTTATCTGGCATCCACCTTCCGGCTTGGCAACAGACATCTTTGCCAATTTTCGGCATGCTGACCACTGTCAGAAGGCAACAAAAATTGTTTTTTTTTTCAAATTCATGCGAAAAGGCGCGATGATGCCATCCATTTTAAAATTTCAAAATTACTTGCTGTGGCCTTACCCCAAGCCTTTCACAATGTAGCTGACTGACAGGGAAATTATTCCACTACAGACTTAAGCCGCGGCTGCCGCTACAACCGATCCGTCACTCCATATCCCGGCAGATCATGTACATCGTACGCTGTGATCCTGATTTAATTTTGATTAGCAGAGCTACCTACGTTAACGACATAATGACACGTTAAATGACGCAGATACCAGGCAACAGCATGTGGGCTAAAAAGGGTATTAGTATATAAACAAGGCACAGCGGGCCCTGAAAATCTTCTCATTATCAGCCAGGCTTCTGGTCGAGCGAGATAAGTGCTAAAGAAGATGCCGTAATCATGGGACAAACCAGATTTATCACAGCCGTAGATTAAAACCTACTTCGGGAAAGACTTCATCGTCAGTAAGCAGCTTACGACAATCGAGGATCTTCATCATTCTAATTAGAAACAAATCCAGCGCTCTCTCCATAAGTTATATTACAAAGGGAAAGTGGCTTGCTGAGCGTTTACATTCAAACATGTGAATAAGATCTGGATTTAAGCGTTCATATTTGATTATCAGAATTAGGAAAATTGATGTGAATCGTTTGAGCCATTAAGTGACTGACAATTAATAACTCATATCACCATAATACTAAATTGAATATCTTTGGCTACTATAAATGTCCTCATTACGGTTTTTATTAGATCGTCGGTTTTGACATGTTCTTTTCTAATTAGATGTACATGTACAGGGCGTAGTTGTGATGAGGTGGATTTTATCTATTTATTTATTGTTCGCATGATGATACATAATACAAAGTGGAGTAATTATATAAATTGAATAAAAACGCTGACAGTGTGCAGGAGAAGGGGGAAGCCTATTAAGCCTATACAAGCTCTCCTTCTTTCGAGCATAACAAATAATAACCACAAATTAACTGAAATACTTGAAATCACAAACAAGGCAAATGACAAGAAAATGACAACATATCATAAATAAGTAACGATTAAATAATAAAAATAATGGCAAAATAAACTATCTAATGAGGAAGCTAAATAGCACTTAAATGATTCAAAACAAGAAAGCGTGGCAACTAAATTAACATAAATGAGATTATCTAATAGAGAATTAAGCTAGTTGAATGTTGGGTGGTTTAAAAGTGATTTTAAAGGATTGTAACTACCACTGCTGCCGTGTCTGTATGTGTTACGGCGATGGGCAGACATGTCTGCTGGCCCGGACACAGACAGATTAATGTGCCGTGATTAAAACTCAGGCTAGGTCGGATTAAATAATCTGAGAGAAAATGAGATGAGAGATTGATTTCTAAGGGTATGTAGTTTGTTATACTGGTCCGAATATCACTCACAATATATATATTTTTTCTTTTCGAGGTTGAGAATAGTCTACGCATAAGACATTCCACTATTTATTTATGAAGCTAAACAAACGTAGATTCAATTACACATGAATGATGGTTTGGAAATATAATGAATATAATAACACGTGTTAGTTGAATTAGTCCATTTATCTTGCCACTATTGCATGTTGATTCAATTCTAAAAATATGTAGACAATTATCGACATGATTCCTAAATTCTACACTATAATCTTATTCTCTATCAGACAGCGTGGCAGACTGAAAGATAGTTGGCCAAAATAGGTGAATGTTTTATCTGACGACTTGGCTCGGTCCTCAGAAGTACATAATTGTCCTTTTCTTGCATGCGCACATGGTAACTCTTGTCGGATTACTCCTCTGGTTAATCATTTCTAGATCTATGACTAATGGCTAAACTTTATTTTCCAACACATTAGAAAATAATGAAGCATACCGACACAAATGAGCTTTCATGCTTCTGCAAGATTCTTCTAGATCTATTTTTGCATTGATATGTGCAGTGATAGATCTCCACTGGTACATCTTTATTCGCTGCGAATGTTTTCTTATACGGAAATTAATTGTTTCCCATTTTATACCCTGGTATAATGCTGACACTGACACACAGAAACACTCTCGGGAATAGAGAATATCTCCTTGAGGTAGACAACCGTAGGAGGTGGTTGTTCTGACGCCAGCACCCGTGAGATATATTGAGTTTGAAACTCTCCGACAGGGACGCAATAAAGATACTGGGATCGATCTAATTCCCGAAGGAACCCTGCCTTCATGGCTTTCAATTCTTCACCTTCAAACGTAGTTTACTATCGGCATTGCTGGGCGTGACACATCAGCATCAGTGTTCTATCGTGTTACCGCAGACATCTATCTAAAGTTGTGGGAATTCTGCCTCACTGATAATGAAGATGATAAGATTCTGCACAGTTCCTTCAATGATTTTCTGGATCAGTGCCAGTGTCTGTAAGATGATAGGTCTCCGCAAAGTTTCAGTAATTAAAAGAACGTTAGATGATCAAATAGCCCTAAAGGATTAGAGTCCTTAGAAGCATCCTCCACGGGTGCTATTCAAACAGACAATCAACGATAGACAGAACACTTGATTTTTACCAGGCATAATGGCCCCCCGTCTGTACCATTCGTCAGTATTACCCCGGGCGTGCTGGCCTTTATGGGATAACTAGGGAGAAATTGGGCATTCGTCACCACATTTACTGCATGTTGGCTGCAACAATAACCCTGAAGTACTTTATGACACACATTCATCACAATAACGGGGCTAAACCGACCCGGAATCTACGGAAAACAGCAACCCGCTGCAAAAGGGTGAGGAGATCAATAAATCGGACTGTCTGCACGTTGTTGATCGCAGGCTAGATTAAAGCCAACGTGGCAACGTTAACGGTAAATATCAGCATTCAAAAGCCTCTAAACTGGACATCTATTCTTGTCAACTGGAAGGAAAGTCGATAGTATGATCTACCGGCGTCCCTTACGATCAAAAGGCAGTCTTCAATTTGAACGTCTCATGGGGAATTTGGCGGAAGATGCCCCGCGCGACAAGCCAGAGGGTAATGCGTGTGTAATAGAAAACGATATCAACAAGAAAATGATATTTTATATTTGCGCAGCCACTTGATCTCCTAAAGCTACGTATATAGACCATATCTTCATGATAAGCACAGGAGAGATTACGTTCTGATCTACCTAATACGTCAATGCCAAATGCCGGGAACGAAGAACGATTTTGTATAATAGTTTGAGGCTAAAAGTGATATTTCAGCGTGTTAACCAATGATCCTGTCCTAAGGGAATGATATTTTATCACACAATTGGATGGTCAAGTGCATACATAAATTGAGACCCTGAAATATTGTATCGTGCAAGATAATGAGAACCATTCCGGAGAATTAACTGCCTTAGTCGGCTTTAGTATTTGGAAAGTATGAAAAGGGCAATCTCACAAGAAACGATCCTACCAACTTCAAGGAAAAGAATGAGAGTAGATGTATGGCTAATGGTCACTGTAGACGTTCCAATTTATATTATGAGTTTGGTTGATTCTAGATACTAAGATAAAACGTTTTGTAAGTAATGTCACTTTTTTCCAAAGGGAAGGCGCTACGTGTGGGAGTCACCGTGGATGTGTCCAGTTTCGATCACTTTTCTGATACCAACATGGTAGGTACATCGTGCATTCCTCGGTGTTTCTTGGTCAAAAACATTTCAACATTCAAACATGTTTCCCCCGAGACCGGTATTCATTGTTTCGGTAAACATTTTGTTTTTGCTACGTTTCCTCCTCTTCTCCAAACCAAAAAGGTCAATGACCTGAACCAGACTGTCTGTTACCATGGTAACTAGTATTGGGTTACATCATGTTGCAATTTTATAGCAGGAGAGATTTAGACTCCTGTCTGACCATATATATGAATGTGTTTGAGTAAGAATTAACAGAGCAGACCATATGCGAAGATAAACATTATGCATGCATTTGCTTTGCAAAATTAATGTTACCTTTCTAGTTATCACTCTTATTCTTTCTTCAGGAGTACAACTTGACTTTCTACATGCATCAGTACTGGACGGACTACCGTCTGCAGCACACGTCCACCCTGAACCAGAACCTGACGTTACACGGCGCCAACGTGGACGTCATCTGGGTCCCGGACACGTACTTCGTCAATGCCAAGAGAAGTCTGTTTCACACGGTTACCACAGAGAACAGAGTCGTGTACATCAACACTTCTGGAGGGGTCACGTACATACTGAGGTATTGAATCAAAAGCTCTTATAGCAATGCAAGATCCCAAAGAAAATCTTACACTAAACGACAAACTAAAATCGATATTCAATTTGTGTCATAGACTACCGTCTTTGCTTCGGACCTGTAGCATAGCTGTTGTGAAAGGACGCCTGGCGAGAATCAGTGGCAGTGCAGGATGGCTCTTCTAGATATAAATTGACTGCTAATGGCTTTTGGTAGATCGATCAGTCTGGAGCCCTGATTGCTTCTGAAACCTAACAGGATTGAGGCCAAGAAATAGTCTAATGGCAGTGCTACATTGTTGATGAAATCGGACGTTTCATTTTCCATTTTCTTTCCTGAATGAGGTGAAGATCAGGTAAGCTGTGGACATCACTGCTCGTTTTTTGCTTACTGCTGATATGATATAAATGTGCTTGTCCTGTACAAGGAATAAGAAATTCCAGAGTCAACGATCTAGTCTCCCGACGTGCAGAGCCCAGTGTGATGATGTGCTTGATGGTTGAGTGTCTTACAGGGTGTCTGCAGCTCTAGCGTGTAACATGAACTTTGACACGTACCCGATGGACGTCCAGAAATGTGAACTGCAGGTCGGCAGCCGTAAGTACCGGTAAAGCTCACGACTCCGTAGCCTAAACTCTGTTTTAGTGAGTGGTATTTTATCCCATTTTATCCAATTTCATCAATGAAGATGGAGTTGACAGTCATTATGTTTACCGAAGGAAATTAAAACATATTGTTTTTGCTACGTCTCCTCTTCTTCCTCTTCGTCTCCAAACCAAAAAGGTCAAGACTGTCTGTTACCTGATGGTAACCAGTGTTGGGTTACATCATGTTGCAATTTTATAGCAGGAGGGATTTAGACCCCTGTCACCATGTATATGAATGTGTTTGAGTAAGAATAAACAGAGCAGACCACATGCAAAGCAGCAAAGGTAAACATTAAGCATTTGGTTTGCAAATTTTACCTTTCTAGTTCAATTTGCAATTCAAGGTCAGATGCACAAGCATACATTACATTAGGCGTGGAGGGATGACGCCAGTTAAATATAGATAGTTAATAGTTAAAAGTGGACGGAATCGCTGACAATTTTGCTATTATGTGAAATTGTAATCTCGTTGCTATGAAAGGTACTAACGTGTTGTATGGACCTCCCCAGATGGCTACTCCGCCCGGGACCTGGTGTACTATTGGAAAGACGGGCTCGACTCCGTGGAAGGCTTCAGTAACAGCTACCTACCGTATTTCTCTATACACAACAGGACTATCACAGAAACATCAGGTGAGGCAAAGGTCCGAATGAAGTACGGGATGTATGTCAATGTAGCGTCGTTGTGTATGATTTTGAACTAATTGCATAATACTGATAAAAGGCTAACACTAGATCTCTGATCTTCGTCGAGTCATTATGTTTACCGAAGAAAAACATATTGTTTTTGCTACGTTTCTTCTTCTTCTTCTTCTCCAAACAATGACCTGAACCATACTGTCAGTAACCATGGTAACTAGTGTTGGTTTACATCATGTTGCAATTTTATAGCAGGAGGGATTTAGAATCTTGTCTGACCATATATATATGTATATGAATGTGTTTGAGTAATAATTAACAGAGCAGACCATATTTGAAGGTAAACGTTATGCATTTGCTTTGCATTTTTTTCGCAGATGAGTACGCATACCTGTACTTCAGTTAAAATTAATGTTATCTTTCTAGGTTTCATTTTGTTCAAGGTTCAACCACGTTCAAGGTTCAAGGTTATCATTTTCATTCTTCCCTCAGGAGTACAACTTGACTTTCTACATGCATCAGTACTGGACGGACTACCGTCTGCAGCACACGTCCAGCCTGAACCAGAACCTGACGTTACACGGCGCCAACGTGGACGTCATCTGGGTCCCGGACACGTACTTCGTCAACGCCAAGAGAAGTCTGTTTCACACTGTTACAACAGAGAACAGAGTCGTGTACATCAACACATCTGGAGGAGTCACGTACATACTAAGGTATTGAATCAAAAGCTCTTATTAACTGCAAGATACCGCACTAAACACTAAACGACAAACTAAAAGCAATATTCAACTTGTGTCATAGACTACAGTCTTTGCATCGGACTCGTAGCATAGCTGTTGTGAAAGGACGCCTGGCGAGAATCAGTGGCAGTACAGGATGTCTCTTCTAGATATAAATTGACTGTTAATGGCTTCTGGTAGATCGATCAGTCTGGAGCCCTGATTGCTTCTGAAACCTAACAGGATTGAGGCCAAGCAATAGTCTATTGGCAGTGCTAAATTGTTGATGAAATCGGACGTTTCATTTTCCATTTTCTTTCCTGAATGAGGTGAAGGTCAAGCAAGCTGTGAACATCACTTCTCATTTTTGCTTACTGCTGATATGATATAAATGTGCTAGTCCTGTACGAGGAATAAAAATGTCCAGAGTCAACAATCTATAGCTAGTTTCAACATTTTCAGAGCCCAGTGTGATAATGTGCTTGATGGTTGAGTGTCTTACAGGGTGTCTGCAGCTCTAGCGTGCAACATGAACTTTGACACGTACCCGATGGACGTCCAGAAATGTGAACTGCAGGTCGGCAGCCGTAAGTACCGGTAAAGCACACGACCTTAAAAACGCTGACATTTAGCGAGTGGTATTTTTATCCCCTTTTATCCAATTCTTATCCAATTTTTATCAATGAAGATGGAGTTGACAGTCATTATGTTTACCGAAGGAAAACCTATCGTTTTGCTACCTTTCCTCTTCTTCTTCTTCTCCTCCAAATTAAAAAGGTCAATGATCTGAACCAGACTGTCTGTTACCATGGTAACTAGTGTTGGGACACATTATGTTGCAATTTTATAGCAGTAGGGATTCAGACTCCTGTCTGTCCATGTATATGAATGTGTTTGATTAAGAATTAACAGAGCAGACCACATGCAAAGGTAAATATTAGTCATTTGCTTTGCAAATGTTACCTTAAAAGTTTCTAGTTTTATTATGTGAAAGTGTAATCTCGTTTTTATGAAAGGTACTGAAGTGTTGTATGGAACTCCCCAGATGGCTACACCGCCCACGACCTGGTGTACTATTGGAAAGACGGGCTCGACTCCGTGGAAGGCTTCAGTAACAGCTACCTACCGTACTTCTCTATACACAACAGGACTATCACAGAAACATCAGGTGAGGAAAAGGTCCGAATGAAGTACGGGATGTATGTCAATGTAGCGTCGTTGTGTATGATTTTGAGCTAATTGCATAATACTGATAATAGGCTAACACTAGATCTCTGATCTTCGTCGAGTCATTATGTTTACCGAAGAAAAACATTGTTTTTGCTACGTTTCTTCTTCTTCTTCTCCAAACAATGACCTGAACCATACTGTCTGTAACCATGGTAACTAGTGTTGGTTTACATCATGTTGCAATTTTATGGCAGGAGGGATTTAGAATCTTGTCTGACCACATATATATGTATATGAATGTGTTTGAGTAATAATTAACAGAGCAGACCATATTTGAAGGTAAACGTTATGCATTTGCTTTGCATTTTTTTCGCAGATGAGTACGCATACCTGTACTTCAGTTTTGAGTTGCACCGCAAGGTGGCGTACTTCATGATCCACACGTTCATCCCGCCCATCCTGATCGTGATCCTGTCCTGGGTGTCGTTCTGGGTGGATCACCGCTCCGTTGCTGCGAGGGTGACGCTGGGTTAGTAGTGGTGACGTATCTTAAGCAGACTGCACCATTTTCAGAATGGTGTGTTGCCAAAAACAGACTGCACGAGCGAGGATCAAGACTCTTTTCAAGCCATTTGAGTGACACATAATAGTTGTCACTTTTGTGAGCCATGTAGAGCATCCATGCAGTTTTACATGGAAAAGCGAGCTAGCATAATGTGGAGTGACTTTAGTTTGAGACCCACAAGTATCTTACAATGAGTTTATGATATGATATGATAATATATATAATCTTAGTGGTACCATGAAAGGGATATAGCTGCATCATGTTATAATTTTCTTCTATTAAAACGATATGTACTCAGTGTCTGTATACCGATTTACCGACCATTTCCAGGCATTACGACGGTCCTTTCCATGACCAACATCATCATGAACGACCCGACCACGACTTTGCCCAAGGTGTCCTACAGCAAGGCCATCGACGTTTACCTTATATGGTGCTTCATGTTCGTGTTCGCCGCTTTCCTGGAATGTGCGGCGGTGACGTACAACTGTTACTACTGGGAGCTAAGGTTACAGATCCCGTCTGGGCCGGACGGGAAGCCATTAGAACCGCCGGACGAACCGCAGGTAGGTCGTGCTGGCTGGGGGGCTACATGGTCACGATTTCATGTCTCCTGTCGCATCCTCGTCATTCATGCAATAGCGTGAGGGTCAGAAAAACTTTCAAAGGTCAGAAACAAGAGATGGGCTTTCCGCAGAAAAATGACATTTGTAATGCTATAAAATGGGTCGTTGAACTTCACTAAGAGGAAAATGTTACATTAGTTTAGCCAACTATAAAGTGAAGCATTACTTGGAACGCAGCTTATTGTCTACACTGCATACATAAGTGACACATGTCGCCCTTTGCTGACGCAAGTATCAATCTGGAACATGTTTCTGGAGATGTTTCCGAGAAGATGTGGTCAGATGGGCACTGTGTTTGGTATCTTTGCGACCTTTCTAGATACAATGGTCTGTATCAAATCACTTTAGACAATTCAGAGGTAGTTGAATGTACATTATCTGTACATTATCTGTTCCAACGATTTTTCGTGGATGTGGGGTCGGGTGGCGTAGTGGCAGTGTGCTAGACTCGCAACCAAGAGGTCACGGGTTCGAGTCCTGACATGCCACCGATCTTGTGCCCTTGGGAAAGGCACTTTACACGACATTCCTCACTTGACTCAAGTAAAAATGAGTATTGTCCTGCATTTGTACTCTGTGTTGGTGGCGGCATGAAATAAGTTGATAACTTGAGTGTGCCGTCGCCATGTTTGGTCATGGAATGTTGGAATAAAAAAAAACGATTTTTTCAACGCTTTCAGGAAATGGAGGAGGCCAAGCCGAACGGGAATGCCTCATCACGACACAACGACGCGAGACAGAAATCCGGGAAGACGATATTCCGTCGCAACCTGGAGAGACTAAGCCAGCGGCGGAAGCCCGCGAAGCAGTACAACGCGGTCAAAGACACGTTCTCCCGCAAGGTTCTGTACGGCCACACGGCGCCGATAGACAGATACGCCAGGGTCTTCTTCCCGGTGGCTTTCCTCATACTCAACATCGCCTACTGGAATCTATATCTGCGATAACTTCTATTTTTGAATTACGCGTTGACATTGTAAAATACATTTCACCAAGTGATGCCGTATATAGAAATTATAACTTTTGACATTTCAAGAATGCAGACGTATCTGCTGCATACAAATGCAGTACATGTAGAACAAATATATGAAACAGCCTAATATCAAAGTATACATACAATGTATGCCGTCTGGTTTTTTTTAATACCAACTATGAAACTTACTAGCTTGTTGAAACTAGTGCAAGTGGATAAGGACAAAAAAAGATGGGCGGTGTATCTAAAACATGTTCCTATAACAGAATCTGAGAATGAAACAAAAACTACTATTTCACCACTTCGCTGCAATAGAACATTGTGCACGCACATGTAGCTCTTAGGTGCCTAAAAGGACACATCTTCAAGAACACGGGATCACTGACTGTTTTTGTCATGTCTTTGGGACCCTTGATTCCAAATAGAGACTACCACTGAACCAAGCTACGCCACCTTGCGACTCTTGTAGTAACGACAAAGAACGGTCAGTAGCTTCATGTGCCTATATGAGTGTCGTTGTTGGTTGTTGGTTGATCGTCTTCTTTTGTACCGAAACATGACAAGTGCAGTAAAAATCGCACATAACATTTACAAAATGAAAATAGAATAAATTGCAATTATATCTTGCTATCTGTGAGTGACCAATTAAAGATGAAGTCTGGAAGAAAGAGGTTGTATAAAATGACGGTCAAACATTTTTTTTAAGTATTAAAAGAACGTCTCATTCTGTGTGTCCCGTGTTGATATTTTATTTTCTTATTCACAGGTTGTCATACTTTCATACACAGGGTATCATTGTTACCCATCTTTTGTATTCTTGACCTAAATCCTGATTGTTAAAATCATAAGATTGAAAAGTTTATTGCAAATCCTGCCCGTAGGCTAATTGAAAATAGAAGATGGACAACAGGATGGATAACAACAGTATGCAACTACTCTAACTACTAAACACTAAAGTCTGACTTCTTGGGCTCGATTTCTTTCATCGAGACAGTGGAAGACGAATGTCAGAATGATTCCACTTTACACTTGATTAATCATGAGATTAATCAAGTGTACACACATCAGTCTATGAGCTACACGTTTGCCACAGCTATTGAAATAGAGGACTACACATTTTTGAGATCAGTAGTCCAGACGATTCCAAGCCGCCCAAGGTCAATTTACTTCAAAAAGATAAATTACCGGGCAGTCCCTGGCTCCGGTCGGAGTGGGTGTGTGATGTATACTCTCCCCGGTTCCCTCCGACCCTCCCGGGCGGCCGTGTTTCACGCGGGACCGATAAAGATCCGGAGATGCGGCGGGGATCAGAGGCCGACGTCCCGCCACACGGAGAGTCACATGCCCGTAGCCAGGATTTTGGTTGGGGGATGGGGGGTCTTTCCACTGTTCATAGGCACAAGCTACCTAGGGGGATTCAAGTTTGAAAATTGAACCTTCTGAAATGGCATTTCCTGCATTTTTGAGAGGATTCCAAAGGACTAATCTGATAACCTTTTATTCAATGACAAAGTGGGTAGTTTTTTTAGGATTCCAGCCCCACAAATCAGTCCACCTTTAAAAAAAAAACTCTGGACCGTTAGATAAAAAGTAGACCTTTTGAGCCTTGTTGGGGCGTACTTCCCAATTCCCCGAACCCTCCCCCCTGGCTACCGGCATGAGTCAGCACAGGGCCTGCCGTGTTACAGTCCGGCTGATTCCACCCCGGAGGCGAGAGGTACGGGCTAGCAGCCGCACAGACTGCGACTTTCTGGTTCAAGAGATTAGAAGAATTGTGACGTAAACACGATGTTGTACTCGAAGAGGTTCAAATTCGATATCAACAACACAATTGTACGCTGTAACTTCTAACACTGCAACTCTCCCTTACTATGCAAAGCCAGTCTCTGTCAAGGCTATATTACATACAAAATCAAATGATGGACACCTAGCAAGAAAACAGATGGAGATAGAGTCAACACATCGTGGTGCTCGTCCATATCCAAAGCTTCTTTCCTAGAACAACATCACTATGGAACAAGTTACCACGTGATTGTTTCCCACAGGGTATAACCTTAAACTTTTCAAGTCTAAGGTCAACATACATCTGTCCTCACTGTCTGTACAGTAACCCAAAACATTTGAGTGGCTCTCATGAGCCTTGCTTTGTGGTGAACATGAAGTAAATTAAAAAAAGACACCCCCAAACATAGAAACGTTTATCCATACGCCAAGTATCATTACATAAAACGTGCCCTTTTTCGTTGTGTTTTGCTGTCGTCACAGACAACGCTCGGAGCCGAAACCGATCATCTTCAGTGCTTCTTTTATAGCTTTCCGCGAACCACTTTATGCGTAACGGCGTAACGACGTTATCACCAGTCTGTCATCCATATCCAGAACGGGGGTCCGTTACAATTTAATCCCGCGACAGGAGCCTGTCCGATCCCACTTTAGGTATGACGCACATGGTGACCCCAGAAACGTACCAATAAACCAGCGGCGTGGTGAATCGTTCAGAAGAGGATCCGCCATAAGTATCCTAGTCCCACTTTTGCCAGAGAACACATGCCTATGAGATATTATATTGTATGTAATGTCATCTGAATATTATCAGAGAAGTTTTTTCTATGTTTATCGAACGAAAACATTGTTTTGCTGTTTCTTCTTCCGTTCCAAACACTGACCTATGACCCAGTCAATGATCTGAACCAGACCGTCTCTCACCATGGCAACTAGTGTTGGGTTACATAATGTTGCAATTTTATAGCAGGAGGGATTTAGACTCCTGTCACCATATATGTAAATGTGTTTGAGTAAACATTAACAGAGCAGGCCATGCGAAGGTAAGCATTATGCATTTGCTTTGCAAATGTTACCTTTCTTGTATATGGATGTATCACCTCTCTGCAATCGGCAGTTGTGTCATTTTAAGTGGACTAACAGAATATACATGACATGTGTCAGGATGACACACGAGACGCACCGACCGGTAAGTACCTGGCCGGTAACAGGAAGCGGCAAAGACGACAATTTGTTTACCGTTATCGGGCAGACCTTGGTACTTCTTACATGTCTTCCTTTGCAGCTAGTCGTTACCATACAAAACAGTATGAATATATCTACATTTGGCAGTTAAAAAAAAAGAAACTGTTGGGTTGGGAAAGTTTTCGCACTAGGCGGAGAGGGGGCAATTTTAAAACAATAGAGGGAATGTGAAAATTTCAGGGTCAAAGGCCGTTTTCATGCGTCACTAGGGCAGCCAACGCCCATTTCCTTGGCGGCTGAGAAATGGTCTTAACCCTATTGAGTGTGGACATGTGTGACAGACAGTTTGATGTAGTATAGCTTGGTAAATGAAGGCAATACTGTCAGATCTCTCCCTGAGGCGGTTACTGTGACCTACAGAACGGCCACGACCAGCGTTCCTTATAGATACGCTACGCGCCGGTTTACTAGATAAAGCGTTGTCTCTACCTTGAGCCTTGAGGCAGGACATGTCTGGCAGTATCTGTCAGATATAGTTCACAAGACAACGCTAACAGCCTGGACTGAATCCAAGATAGCAACACGTTCTCATCAATCCGTTTTTGGCTTCTTTCTGTGAGTAAAGTTCATGTGAAGAAGAGCGAATATAATGGGTCAGATGGCTGAAGAGGATTAAGCGAGTCAGCTAAAATTCCGGTGAGTCCAATTTTCTTGAGTTGGAGCACTGTTTGACTTTTCCAGATGTAGTCACTTGTACACTAACTCTGAGCTTTCATGCTAGTACATGTCAAGAAGTTGAGATGAAACTCCAAGAGTTGAGGGAGCTTGTAGGATACAAGGCGCCGTGGAATAAATCAAATAAAGACTGATTGCAACTACGTATACCTGTTACTACACTACTGCTTCCACAGACCGTAGTGAGTATAAGGAAGAAAGACGTCACCGTTACATTTTGATGATCCGATTTCTAAATCGGTTTGTTGACACAAACGTAGTTCTTGCAAAGACTAGAGTTGAATACGGAACATTTGGATTTTGGTCTCCAAGAAGAATATGTATTTGAGGGAAATGTCCAGTTAATCTTCTTCCGAGAGTTACATCATTCTACGGGTTAGAATTCATCAAGATTATATTTTGATGATATTTCCAAATCGGTTTGTTGATACACGTAGTTCTTGCAAAGACTATTCTCGAATACGGAACATTTTGGATTTTGGTTTCCAAGCCGAGGGAAGTGTCCAGTTGATCTTCTTCCCACAGTTACATCATTCTACGGATAAAACTCATTAAGGTCAGGGCCGGACGATCAACTGATTGATGGACACCCAATCTTAGTTGCTCCTCTACAGTACCCAACATTACTGTTTCAATGAGCTACGAATCGGCCAGTTCAAACTGCAAGGAACATTAACGCACACACAATTGATGAGTGTTGCATAATGCTGACGCCCAAAATGGGTCATTTGGGCCAGGCTCAATCCCAATACGTCAGATTACTGTTACAGCTCCCGGCAGCCTATGGCCATGGCGGCACACTCATGTAGCATTTATGTGTTCTGCCGGTCTGAACGGCACCCATGTGATAGGCAGTAAAACATAGCACTAGTAAAGGTATACGTCACAATCACATTCTTCAATGTTAAGGAAACCTACATGCATATGTTTGTAAATTGCAAAAGGCTGGGTAACTGCTGGGAAAAAGTTGAATATAGATTGAATCACCATGGCACTAGAGTTAAGATAAACAAATTGTCAATATTTTTTGGAGCCGATCAAAATTTGGAAGTCATCGATGCAAATATTACTCTTGCGATTACTCTAGCAAAATTTGTTATTTATAAATCCTGGATGGAATTTAATGATAAGGATAGCATGCAACACAACCTATGGTATTACTACTTAACCGAGATGTCCTTTAGACAACTGTAACTATGTTTAGTGCGTTGTATGATGTGTATGTGTATATTTTGTATATATTTTGTCTCTTGGTCATCAATAAAGTTTTGAAAAAAAATTCTTCAGGACAGCTGTTCTCCCCTGAATGAGTTTCACATCCCACCGCGTGTCAACCGCTAGTCTACGACGAGAGGGCCGCTTCGACTAAGAGCAAAACCAAAAGACATGAGCTGTTCTTTATCCCTAGAACATTGAAACTGTACTACCACTCTGGCAACTGATTCTTACAACCACGGAACTCCATTTTACAACTTACTGCTTCCTAATGATATGCAAGTTATGTATAGATAGTTGTACTTGAGGACATATATATATTGTCCATGTAAAGGGTTTTTAAATCGCATTTTAAAATGTATTTTCAATATTGTCATAATTGTAAATGTTGGCTCAATTCATGATTTGAATTTCATCGGACATGTCATGCCAATCAATAAAGCTGAATCTGAATCCAGCAAGTATCATTTATGTATGACAAAAGTATGAAACGACAGCAGTACTAGTATCAGCAAAAATATCATGCTA